CAGGTTGTTGATCGTAACTAGAATTTCTAGATGGTTGTATAACATAGGTATATATCACATATTTCTAGATGGTTGTATAACATAGGTATATATCACATATCGTTTAACGTCATTGCATAACAGGTTGTTGATCGTATTCTTCTAAAGAACATTATTTTCACAACAGAAGTAAAGGGGGTAAGGTGTAAAGGTAGGAGTTTCCATATCTTGGAATAGATTTGGAGCTGTGCCAATGGAATATAAGAATTGCATTCCTAATTTGAAAGCGTGTCGTAAACTAAGGCAGATTTCTACGAAACTTTGGCATCCGAAGGCTTCGTTCTTCTCTACTTATTCACTCCATACTCAGAGCAGAAGGTTTCATCTCTTACGCACTGTTTATTATCCAAAACAGCTTTGTCGTTCTGATTTTGTTGCTTCCGCCTCAGGTAATATCTTAACATTAAAACATCTTGCTCAACAATAGATGAGAATATCAATTTTTACTTAAGATTCACATGTTGAAGACTTAATGCTTTCGTAAATTTTAAATTTCACGTTCACATGAATTTTTGGATGTGGAGCAGAATATTTTATTGTGTATGTAATATTAGACTGCTCTGTGTTTTTGAAAAGAGTAAAACTATATTTATGAAAACATGAAGATTGAGAAAACTTCATTGCTAATTACTCTAATTTTTACATTGATCGTGGACAATTAGTTGAATGAGTCGTGTTATAACCAAAAATTAGTGCTTATAGTATTTGAAACGTTATGCAATTAATAAATCAAGAAATCCATATTTGTTTGTTTTTCAAGTTAATCACAAAGCTACACAATGGGCTATCTCTGCTCTGCCCACCACGTGTAGAAATCCATATTTATAAAATTATTTACCGTATTTTTCGGAATATAAGACGCATTCTTATTTTGAAGACAAAGTTTCGAGAAAAAAAAAAAGCTACAGTCGCATTTGAAAGACTTTTATTGAACAAAAACACAATTTGGTACTTTAAAAATTAGTATATATTGTTCTAAACACAAAAGAGCTCAAAACATCAAAATAAGAAAACACCGTAAATAAAAAAAAAAGGTTTAGAGTTATTTAGTTTGGTTCAAAAACCTACAAAATCTTCATTGCTTTCACTGTAATTTGTTTTTTTTTTTATTTAGGGAACATTATAAATAGTTATGTTTTTTAAAAAAAACTTAACTATTGTTATAATAACACATTCAATTGAACTAAACTATGAATGCCTATTTAAATATATTAACACATGGCAA